GCGAGTACCTCGCAAATGAGACAAATGGGCAGTTGTATCTGTTTTCCATAGCATTCGTTCAGGGGTTAATATGGACCAATACACAAGGCAATCTCCAAGGTGTCTTGTGGTGTGGCAGCTTTACCTCTCAGTGAGAAAAGCAAGGTTCAAGCTCCACTTGGCCGTGAGGTGTGCCCAAGGTGAGGTATGTCTAAGCAAGTTGATTCAACTAACTACAAGGCACACTCTCGCCCTGCTCCTTCAGAAGCAATTTGTGAGGTTTTTTTTGCAAACGCCTGTGAGGCCCAAGTGAGCTTCAGCTTAACGTCTGATCCAACAAACTTCGCCTCCAGCAATGTTACACTTGGGGAATCAGAATGGCTGCTACAAAAGAAAGGACCAAAGACACTGAAAGACATTTGCCCTGATAAGTTTGTCTACATCAGATAAATAAATAGTCCCAAGGTCAATTCCTCTTCATAGATACTTTAATCACCATTTCATATAAGAATTACAAATATAATAAACAAGTACAATGGAAAAAAAAGGCTTTGTACAAATAAGATAAGTTTGCATTGTAAACAGTAGTTTCATAGCATTACTGAGTTGCCCTATAAGTTGGTATGTGGCTTCTAGTGGCAGGGTATTTAGCTCGGAAGATGTCCGCTTAATAATTAAAAGCTGCCCCATTACAAAACCCTTTGATTCTCAGTCGGACACTTGCCACCAAAGACAAGGAGCTCATCCAAAGTGATAGTAGGAACTGCCGATGCTGGAGATTCTGAGATAACAAGGTGTGCAGCTGGATGAACACAGCAGACCAAGCAGCATCAGAGGAGCAGGAAGGCTGACGTTTCGGGTCTGGACCCTTCTTCAGCTCATCCAATGACACTCAATGCCTTTGGAGGTGGTGCCCTTATTGCCCTTGCTTAACCATCACCCCTCCACCCCTCTCAGCATCCCCTCCCAGCTCAATACCTATCTGTCTAGGATACATGTCACCCAGGGAGTAGGGGGTGGGGGGATGGGGAGTACTGGGGGGGACAGGCAAGGCCCACACACAAGTGATGTTGTACATTTCCAAAGACACAAATAACACCCTTGACTCCCTCACAATGCCCCGACGTCCCATTGCATGACTCCATCTGGGCTGTTGGGTTCCGTGAGGTTTTGACGCCACACCTCAGGCAACTGAATCACAAGGACTGAGAATGTTCCCGGGTTTAGCCCATGAAACTTTTTAGCAAGAGGAATCTCACCCAGCAGGACAGCTAATGACATGAAGGATTCTGCTTCACATTGATAGAAAGACTTGCATGTATATAGAGCCTATTACAACTCAGAACATCCCAAAACACTTTGCAGAAAATGACACACTTTTCCCTGAATTGTAAGCTATGAAACATTATACAGTTCTCCCCCAAAGTAGTTTCAACTTCTCTTAAACTTACTTCTGTTCCCATTGGAGGGATTATCAACTAATTAGGATGGCACACAGTTTATATTAAAGTAGTACAAACATTTTATGCAAAATGGCATCCTTATGTCATTTCAAAATCTGACTGATTAGTCAGACGTGGGTGTCACTGGCTGAGCCAGATCATACCTTACATAAGAATGTCAGGGAAATAGAACAAAATGCAGAATATAGTGTCACAGCTACAGAGAAGGTACAGAGGGCAATTAACTTAAATATATGAGAAGTCTGTTCAAAACTCTGGTAACAGCGGGGAAGAAGTTGTCCTTGAATCTGTCGTACATATTTTCTAACTTTTGTTTCTTCTGCCCCACAGAAGAGGAGGAGTACAAGAGTAATAACAGGGGTGGGAGGGGTCTTTGATGATGTTAGCTGCTTTCCCCAAGCAACAGGAAGTGTAGATGGAGTCAATGGATGGAAGGTTGGTTTGCGTGATAGACTGACCTGTGTTCGCGACTCTCTGTAATTTCTTGCGGATATTAACCCAGGAACAGGGAAGGAATGGGGATACATTTCCAAGTCATGATGATGCATGACTTAGAATGGAACATGTGGGTCATTCTGAATGGGACAAATATAATGAAACTTGCATCTACAATTTAGGGCCCTGTCGGAACCTCACCTTGAATTAACTTGATAAGCAGCAATAGGATGATGGTGGTAGCACAGTGTGGAATGGTACACCATATTTGGCCAGTTGTGAATGAAGAAAATAGAATCCCCAGCCCAGGATTTCTCACTAACACCCTCGCCCTCAGTCAGGCTTCAGTGGGAGGTCAACAATCAGAAACTAGCCTCATGCGTGTGTCTGTTTGCATGTGTATCTGTGTGCGTGTGTGTTTGTGTATTTGTGCGCGTGTGTGTGTGTCTATGTGTATGCCTGTGCGTGCATGTGTCTTCATTTTGGAAGGTCGAATTTGAATGCAGAATACAGGGTTAATGGCAGGATGCTCGGCAGTGTGGAGGAACAGAGGGATCTCGGGGTCCACGTCCATAGATCCCTCAAAGTTGCTACCCAAGTCGCTAGGGTTGTAAAGAAGGCATATGGTGTGTTGGCTTTCATTGGCAGGGGAATTGAGTTTAAGAGCCACAAGGTTATGTGTGCAGTTTTGGTCTCCTTACTTGAGAAAGGATGTACTGGCACTGGAGGGTGTGCAAACGAGGTTCACTAGGTTGATTCCGGAGTTGAGGGGGTTGGTTTATGAGGAGAGACTGAGTAGATTGGGATTATATTCATTGGAATTCAGAAGATTGAGGGGGGATCTTATAGAAACATATAAAATTATGAAGGGAATAGATAAGATAGAAGTAGAGAGGATGTTTCCACTGGCAGGTGAAGCTAGGACAAGAGGGCATAGCCTCAAGATTAGAGGGAGCAGATTTAGGACTGAACTGAGAAGGAATTTCTTCACCCAGAGGGTTGTTAATCTATGGAATTCCTTGCCCAGTGAAGTAGTTGACGCTACTTCAGTAAATGTTTTTAAAAAAAAGGTAGATTTTTTTTGAACAATAAAGGAATTAAGGGATACGGTGAGAACGCGGGTAAGTGGATCTGAGTCCACGAAAGGATCAGCCATGATCTTATTGAATGGCGGAGCAGGCTCGAAGGGCCAGACGGCCTACTCCTGCTACTAGTTCTTATGTTCTTATGTTCTTATGTTCTATGCTGCAGCTCCATAAAACTCTGGTTAGACCACACTTGGAATATTGTGTTCGGTTATATAGGAAAGATGTGGAAGCTTTAGAGAGGGTGCACAGGAGATTTACCAGGATGCTTCCGGATTGGAGGGCAGGTCTTGGAGGAAAGGTTGAGAGAGCTAGGGCTTTTTTCATCGGATTGAAGAAGGATGAGAGGTGACTTGATAGAGGTGTACAAGATGATGAGAGGCATGGATAGAGTGGATAGCCAGAGACTTGTTCCCAGGGCGGAAATGACTATTACGAGGGGACATAATTTTAAGGTGATTGGAGGAAGGTATAGGGGAGACATCAGAGGTAGGTTCTTCACACACAGAGTGGTGGGTGTGTGGAATGCGCTGCCAGCAGTGGTAGTGGAGTCAGATACTTTAGAGACTTTTAAGCGACTCTTGGATAGGCACATGGAGGATAGTAAAATGTAGGGATGCAGGGTAGTTTGATCTTAGTAGGATAATAGGTTGGCACAACATCGTGGGCCGAAGGGCCTGTACTGCGCTGTACTGTTCTATGTTCTATGTCTATGTCTGTGTGTGTCTGCATCTGTTTGTGCATGTGTGTGTGTGTGTTGCACGCATTTGTGAGTCTGTGTGCCCACGTGTGTGTGTGTGTGTGTGTGTGTGCGCATTTGTGCAAACATGTGTGTTTAGAAAGTGGTGAAAATGAAAACTGTTGGAAAAAAACACGAAAAATGACCCATCTCCACAACCTAATTGGAGGGTATGATACTGTCTTCTTGGAAATGAGCAGTAGGGTTGGGTTTACAATTGTAAGGATGGATTGATGATAATGACAGCTCACTTCTTTATACTGTGTCATGGAACCCCAGGAGCAGGTGATGACAGTGAGGGAGGGTGTGGAGCAGGGGATCTCCTGCAGTCAAGCAGACCCTCTGTTGAGGAAACGGTGCCATTGGGGGAAAGGGGCCTTATGGAGAGAGGGAGAGACAGTCAAAGGATTTTCTCACCCAGATGTGAACTACAGGCTTAACGCCATGTAAATACCCTGCTGAACCTTACTTCCCCTTCATGTTTGCGAAGGCCCAATGTCAGTGGAATAAAGAATCCTGCTTCATGGTCTTTCAGTTGTCTGTGTGCTGAAATTGCACATTACAAGAGTACAGTGGAAGTCAATTATAGTATGAATGGTGGGGTTCAAAAAGTGACACCACATTATATCCAGACTGTGCTAACAAGAAAACACATATTGTCTTATAACTAGATAAAAAGAAGAATTAAGTAAAGATTTATCTCTTTTGAAAGCCATAACCCCTGTGCTGTAAGCAAGCTCAGGGTGTATTGAGCCAAGTCATAATGGACATAACTGACCTGTAACTTAGTGCAATTCCCCAAGGCAGTTTGCAAGAGAGTCTATATAAACTTCACTCCAGTTGATGGCTTAGCAGGATGCATGTCATGGATTTCTTTCATCACCAAGTGATGTTGCACCCTTGGCGTATGCCAGCTTTGAAGCACATGGTATTTATGGTCCTCACATTGTGCTGTGAAGGCCCTTGTTGGATTGTGGTGCTGTACTGAGGTTTGCTCTGCACTTTGGAAGAGATGTCCAGAGCACATATCTAATCATAATGCTCTGGCCATGAGGAGTACGGAGGAGAGAGTCTTTATTGTGCCCATCCATTCTGGGCACATAGTATTGCTATATCATTGTCTAAAATGCCATCCACAGAGTGCTGAAGTCCATCCTGGCAGCGAGGCGAGGAGGTTGGGGAAGGGCTGGGTGTTTCCCATGCCCGAGCCGCGTCTTTTGGGTTGCTGCTTTGGCTTGAAATATCCCTGCTAATCCCTCCCAACCCCATCCCCTGGCCCAGGCCTTTCCAATCGCCACATCACTTCTCCCCTAGCTTTCCAACTCCTGCGAGGCCGGTCTTTGGCCCTCCTGGCGTGGTGCTATCCTCATGCTCTTCCCAGCTGCTTTCTTGGGAATTCCAACACCCACATCTCCAATGTGACTGCTGCTGCAAAAACAACAACAATTCCTTACGTTTTGTCTTTGATCACTGAGGTGCTTTGGAAAAATGCAAGTCTTTATTTTTCTGTAGCGTCATGAACATAGACAAAATCTTCCAAGGTGCTTCACACGAGTGTAACCTTCGGCAAAGAGGCAGAGACACCTTAAAAAGGTGATGGGGGTGGGGTCAAGAAGAGGTGAGATTTAGGATAGGAATTCCAGAAGCATTGGAAGTTTGAAGTCAGGGCTACCAATGGGCAGCATAGCGGCTCAGTGGTTTGCACTGCTGCCTCATGGCGCCAGGGTCCTGGGTTCAATCCCAGCCTTGGGTGACTGACTGTGTGGTATTTGCACATTTTCGCCATGTCTGCATGCATGTGCTCTGGCTTCCTGCCACAGTCCAAAGATGGGCAAGTTAGGGTGGATTGGCCATGTGCAATTACCCACAGTGTCCAGGGACATGTAGGCTAGGTGGATTAGCCATGGGAAATGTAGGGTTACAGGGATACGAAGGAGGAAGGGGGATCTGGATGGGACGCTCTTTGGAGTGATGGTGTGGACTCACTGGGCTGAATGGCCTGCTTCCATGGTGTGGGGATTCTATGTGAGAGCAATTAAAATCATGGATGTGCAAAAGGGCAGAATTGGAGGAGTTCAGAGATCTTGCAGGGTTATGGGGCTGCGGGACATTACAGAGATAGGAAGCAATTAAAATCATATAGGGATTGAAAGGGTGAGAATTTTAAAGTTGAGGCATTGCCTGACACAAAAATAGGTGGAAAGGCAGCTTGCGAGAGGGGTGTAAATATTGGCAGATTCAGTAAGTGGGCAAAACGTCGGCAAATGGAGTATAATGTGGGAAAATTTGAAGTTATTCATTTTGGAAGGGAGAACAAAAGAACAGAGTATTATCTGAATGAAGAAAAGCTGCAAGACAGAAAAAACATGTAGGAACTTGTGCACGAAACACAGAAAGCTAGCACACAGGTACAGCAGGTAATCAGGAAGGACAATGGATTGTTGGCCCTTATCTCAAGGGCGTTGGAGAATAATGACAGGGAAATCTTACTGCAATTGTACAAGGTGCTGGTGAGACCACATCTGGGGTACTGTGAGCAGTTTTGATCCCATTATTTAAGGCAAGATGTCATTTCATTGGAGGCAGTTCAGAGAAGGTTCACTACGGTAATCCCTGGTATGGAGGGGTTGTCTATGAGCAAACATGAAGCAGGTTGGGTCGCTAACCACTGGAGTTTAGAAGAATGAGAGGTGATCTCATTGAAACATATCGGATTCTTCAGGGGCTTGACAGGATCAATGCTGAGAGGGTGTTTTCTCTTCATGCGAGAGTCTAGGACCAGAGGGCACAGACACAGAATAAAGGGACACTAATTTAACATGGAGGTGAGGAGGAATTTCTTCCCTGAGAGGGTTGAGAGTCTTTGGAACTCCTTGCCACAGAGAGCTGCGGGGACAGAGTCCTTGTGTATATTTAAGGCTGAGATAGATAGATTCTTGATCAGTCAGGGAATCGAGAGTTACGGGGAAAGGGCAGGAAAGTGGACATGAGGAGTGTTGGATCAGCCATGATCCTACTGAATGGTGGAGCAGGATCATGAAGCCAAATAGCCTACTCCTGTTCCTACTCCTTAATCTTACCAATAGCCAGCAAGAGTGAGCGTGATGGGTGAGCAGGACATGATGGAAGTTAAGGTACAGGGCAGCAGACTTTCCGATGGCCTCTGGTTTATGGAACTTTGAAGATGGAAGCTTATGTTGGAATAACCAAGTCTGGAGTTAACAAAGGGTCGAGCACTCCACCAGCCCAAAACCGTAGGAATCCTCTGTTCCTGCTCATCAATTGTACAGAATGGCTTTGCAATCGGTGAAGCGTTCTCATCTGCCCCGATAGTATATTTCCTTTCTTTGTCTCATTAACTAATGTACCATATCTAAGCTGCTGCTTCTTCACAAACCTGATAAACAATTTGAAAATTACTTACAGATACTTGATACACTGGCTGTACAAAATAACTCTGATCACAAAAGTCAACAAATAGTGGGAACCAGCTGAACAATACACGAGGTTAGATGGCCTGCATGGACTATGCCTGTTCCAAAGTGTGTGTGTGTGTTTATCTGTGTGCATGTTTATGTGTGTGTGCACGTGTGCGCGTGTTTATGTATGTGTGCACGTGTGTGTGTGTTTATGCGTGTGCGTGCATATGTTTATGTATGTGCGTGTTTATGTGTGTGTGCGTGTGTGTTTATGTGTGCGCACGTGTGTGTGCGCACAAGAGAGTGAATATGTGTGAGGGAGAGTGTGTGTGTGTGTGTGTGTGTGTGTGGGAGAGTGTGTATGTGTGTGTACACACGAGTGTGTGAGTGAGACAGAGAGAGTGTGTATGTGTGTGTACAACTTTGGGCTCTATAGCAGCAATAAGTTGCGAGCACGTTTGGTGGTGATAATGAGGATGTATGGAGGCTGCACTGTTTCTGACAGCTTTGATCAGGGCAGAGCCCACCTCAGCCAGATTGGTTTGACTGTTCTTGATTCCGAAACATACCTCGGCACTCTGATTGGTGACTGGCAGAAGGTCCTGCACTTTGCATCTTTGCCTTTGGTGCAGAAACATCGAGTCAGTTCCCGCTTCCGAAGTTTCAGAGGATTCCCCAGACCGTACGGAACAACCTGTCTGTGAGGATGAAAAACCACAGTTAGAGGTGTAAGTGTACAAGGGACAGCAATGAAGAATGGAGCACTCCCAGGTGGAGGGCCTCAGTGGGACATCAGCTATGGTCTTATTGGGTTGCAATCTGTCACCTGAGTCAGAAGGTAATGGGTTCAAGTCCCATACCAGAGGCTTGAGGCCATTATCCAGGGTGACATGCCAATGCTCTGCTGAGGGAGTGCTGCGTTGTTGGAGATGCTGTTTCAGATGGGAATGAGTGGCTGTGGGCCTTCTCAAGTAGACAAAAGTGATCCTGTGCCATGGACATTATTTTGAAGTAGAACATGTATACATTAAGCACCATTACTGGAATGAACAGTCTGCTCTTTGATCATATTGCTGTTTGTGGGGTCTTGCTGTGCCCTCCAAGTGGCTGCCGCATTTCCCACATTACAACCATGACCCCTCACCCTATCAACCTCATTGCTGACAAAGCTCGTTGAGACAGATTCAGGTCACGAAAAGTGGTCTACGAGAGCAAGTCATTACTTAGTTCTTAGGATGATCTTTAACTAAGGCGATGCATGTCAAAACAGGAGAGAAAATATGTACACAATATGTTTTCGGCTAGAAATCTCTTGGGCTTGCAAGCTGAGTGAGGGAAAGAATTTGGGCTTTCTTCCCAGTGAGTAATATGTGATTGGGTGGGACGTTACTTTATCTGTGTGCTCTTTCCCCTTCTCCATGCCAACCTGATTGGAGGAGATAGAATTGGACTGATATCACCAGCCATCTTAAATTCTCTCACCTTGTCCTCCATTAGCAAGATCAGGCCTTTAAAAGGCGGAGTCCTGCCACCTTGGAGTGTGTTCCAACAGAACACTACAGAACGAATCACCTGAAGGCTTAGGCAAAGTTATGAAGATAGAAGCTGGTGAAAGTGAAACTTGTTGTCAAGGCAAAGGATTGTGGGACTACTAGATGCTCACCTTCTTCACCATTTTCCAATAATAGGGTTGTTGACTAATCAATCACAGTGATCAATCTCTATCAATGAGTGAACAAAAGAGCCAGGCATGAGGTGTTGGTAAAAACAAACTGGTGGAAAATTTCAGGAACCATGGATCTAGAGTCATTCATTCATCCGAAACTATATGCGCCACACACGTCATATCAATCATAGGATCTGTTTTAATGTGTTACTTTCTGAAAGAAATCAGTTGAATTTACATTGGGGTCAATCACCAATCACTGCTTCGCTTTGGTTTGCTGATATTCCAGCATAAAGAACATTGAGAAGCTGGGGAAAGGTGTGGAGAACACAGACATCAATGGTTACAGGTCGCATCAATAGCAATGACAGCAAAAAGATAGCACCGTGAGAGAGGTGGCTCAACGGTTAGCACTGCTGCCTCACAGTGCCAGGGACCCGGGTTTGATTCCACCCTTGGGCAACTGTCTGTGTGGGTTTCCCCCGGATGCTCCAGTTTCTTCCCGCAGTCGAAAGATGTGCAGGTTAGGTTGACTGGCTGTTGTAAATTGCCCGTACTGTGCAGGGGTGTATAGGCTAGGTGGGTTTTCCATGGGAAATGTGGGGTTATGGGATAGGATAGGGGTCTGGGTGGGATGCTTTTCAGAGGGTTGGTACAGTCTCAATGGGCCAATCAGCCTCTTTCAGTACCGTAGGGACTCAATGATTAAACAGGTCCTAACAAACACTTACATTACTATCCCTCTGGTAAAAGGGGCCTTTTGTTCATTCCTTTTTCTGTGATCATTTAGGGTTCTACAATGTCCTGTGAATAACAGGTCCTCATGAAGCAAAATGGCTGTTATGTTTCTATATGGTATATTTTGTTTTGGGCTGAATTTACTCTCTGACTCGGTGCCCAGAGTGCAAATCCATTTTCAAACATTCAATGTTAACCCCAGAAAATTAAAGCCATATGTGACCACAGCACACAGCCCAGATCATTGCCTCAAGAAACATTGTCTGAGATGCACACACTAAGTACAGACATGGCACTTACTAGTAATGAGAAGAAGATTCAGATGCGATATTTCACTAATTTACCACATTTGGGGCGTGATTTTCAAGAGTGCACACATGCCTCCATTCTACACAACTTCAACAATGAATATTGACCTCTATTTCAGAAGGGAAAGGTATATAAAAATAGGAAAGTCTGGCTTAAACTATACAACATACTAGTAAGGCCACAGCTGGCATACAGCCAACAGCTTTGCTCCCCTCTAAGGAAAAGATGCACTGCCATTGGATGCAGTTCAGAGAGGGTTCACTAGGTTTTTCCCCCAGGAATGGAGGGATTCTCTTATGAGGAGAGGTTGAGTAAGTTGGGCTTGTAGTCATTGGAGTTTAGAAGAATGAGAGACGACCTTATTAAAATGTTGCGGAGTTGAAAGGGTGGATGTTAAGAAGTTGTTTCCCCTTGTGGGACAGTCTGGGATCAGAGGGTATCGTCTCTCAATAGGGATCACACATTTAAGACAGAGATGAGGAGGGCTATTTTCCCTGGAGCTGGGGAGGGGGTGACCTTGTAGAGGTTTATAAAATCCTGAGGGGCATGGATAGAGTGAATAGCCAAGGTCTTTGTCCTCAGGTGGGGGAGTCTAAAACTAGAGGGCATAGGTTTAAGGTGAGAGGGGAAAGATTTAAAAGGGACCTAAGGGGCAACTTTTTCACACAGAGACTGGTGCATGTATGGAATGAGCTGCCAGAGGAGGTGGTGGAGGCTGGTACAATTACAACATTTAAAAGGCAGCTGGATGGGTATGTGAATAGGGAGGGTTTAGAGGGATATGGGCCAAATGCTGGCAAATGGGACTAGATTAATTTAGGATATCTGGTCGGCATGGACGACTTGGACTGAAAGGTATGTTTCCGTACTTTACATCTCGCTATGTATACATGACTATGACTCTCAGACGGTGGTGAATCTGTTGATCATTAAGAGTATTCAAGGCTGAGATAGACAGATTTTTAATTAGTAAGGGAATTGAGAGTTATGGGGGAAAACGCAAGACAGTTGAGGGTGATCAGATCAGCCATGACCTGATTGAATGGCAGAGAGGACTCAATGGGCTGAATGGCCTACTAATGATCCTAGGTCTGGTCAATCTATTTCAACAGTGACTACACCTCAAAGCACTTCATTGACTCAGAAGCTCTTTGCAATGTCCTGAGGCCATGATATATAAGCAAGTTTTTCTTTTACCTTCGTTTTATTACGGTTTTCCACCCTCCAATATTTATGCAGCTGCCTTGAAGAACCTATTCGCGAAAATGAATTTGCAACTGTTTCTGATTAGAAACTCTATGTCAGACACCGTTTCCCCTCCTCCTCTTGATGTGGAGTTGAAATCATTGCCCCGTAAGTTGGTGATTTGCACAGGGACTTTGTGGTGCTGTCGATAAGACAGATTGGAGCCCCTCAATGGGACACGATGACCAAGGAAGATGCATTCAGAATACAGCCAAATGCATTGAGGACCAAAAACACACTGTAAGAACAGGAGAGATTCCTGGTCAACTGTGAGATGATAAGAAAGCTAAAGCTTTCACTGCCACTGCCAATTGCTTCGGGCTACGATATGCTTGACCCAACAGCAACCTGGGCGCCCGGAGTGAACCTTAATGTGCCCTCAGCAACCTAGAAATTCTCCTCACTTACTTTGACAAGTGATTTTGGCATCTCACACCTGATAGCACTATTCACCAACTGGAAAAGATGTCTGTTTTTTGTCATGGATAACAATAGCGGGAAGGACACTTTTAATCATCTGAAAACCGATAGGGGCTGAAAGAGAGATGCTGGGACAGAAATCATGAGCTTTGGTGATATTCTTGGCCTGGGATCTGAACACAGCCGCCCCATGTTAGCACAGTCGGTTTCTTAAGCTCTAGATCCCTGTTATGGGGCCTGGATATACCTCACTGTCCAGACCATGCTGGCCAAGCTTGCAGTTCCTTAAATATAGGAGATGAACCACGATATATTCAATAAAGAAAGGCTGGATAGACTGGGATCTTTTTCACTGGAGTCTAGGAGGTTGAGAGGTGTTCCAATAGAAAGTGGTGTGATAGGAGTCATGGACATAGAGTCATACAGCACCAAAACACCTTGGTCCAACCAGTCCACACCGAACATAATCCCAAACCAAACTAGTCCCACCTTATAAAGTAATGAGGGGTATAGGTGGAGTTAATGGTAGTTGTTTTTTCCCCAAGGATAGGGGATTTCAAGACTCGGGGGCACATTTTTTAAGGTGAGAGGAGAGACATTTAAAAAAGACATGAGAGGAAAATTTTTTACAGAGAGTGTGGTTCACGTGTGGAATGAACTTCCTGAGGAAGTGGTGGATGTGGGTACAATTACAATGTTTAAAAGACATTTGGATAAGTACATGAATAGGAAAGGTTTGGAGGGATATGGGCCAGGAGCAGGCAGGTGGGACTAGTTTAGTTTAGGATTGTGTTTGGCGTGGACTGGTTGGATCAAGGGGTCTGTTTTGGTGCTGTATGACTCTGTGACTGTATGTCCATGACTCCTATCACACCACTCAAGTATTCTAAACAATCAGTTCACTCGTAAGACCATTCCATATATAGCAGCAAGCCATTCAGCCCATTGAGTCTGCTCTGCTATTCAATGAGTTAGTGGCTGATCTGATAATCCTCAACTCCACTTCCTTGCCTTTTGCCCATAATCCTTGATTCCCTTGCTGACTAAAAATTTGCCTCTCAGCTTTGAAACTTCAATACTTGAAGTAATTTGCCAAAGATCCTTAGATGACATCTTACAAATCCATGACCATTTCCATCTAGAAGGACGAGGGCAGCAGATACATAGAAACACCACCACCTTCAAGTTCCCCTCCAAGCTACTCACCATCCTGACTCAGAAATATATAAGCATTACTAAGGTTTTAGAGTAGATTTGTAGCTCAGGTTGTGGATGTTGTGGTTGGTTGGCTCACCGAGCTGGTTCGTTGTTGTTCCGCAG